ATTTTCTCAGTAAGAAGATGTAAGGATTCAAGAAACTTCCAGAAGTCAAGATCTTGAACATCTTGTAATTTCTTGACGTCTTGTACCAAGATCTTGGACATTTTTGAATCATCGTTTTGTTTTACTCTCTTGTTTAAATATAAGTGCGAATATTTTCACACTTAGAATAACTTCGAACTTGTTTCCTTCTTGACCATAGTTATTTAAGAAAGAACCTATGATTCTATGTAGTCGTATATCTGACGGCTATGGTTGTCATAGATGAAAACAAAATATCAAGAAAAAGTTTCACTTAAGATCTTGGAATATCTTCAGTGCATTCACGCAAGATCTTGAAATTTCTGTTCCCAACATCTTGACTGAATGATTCAAGAATCCAAGTTATTGACTTCTTAGTGTCGTTTTCAAGATCTTGTGACATTTCTTAACCCAAGATCTTGGATACAAGACGTTTCAGAATTTGTTAAGATCAGACTTTATGCTGCCATATACAAAGAGTAATAAAGAAAAATATATTGCGTCGTAAATCAAGAATATATGTACGCATATCTTTCCATTAAATATATTATTTCCTCGTTAAATTTATGAGGTTAAAATTAGAGGTTAACTTGACACCGAATATTATTAGTCAAGGAAGTATTATCTTTCAACACATTTACTTTAATATTTGCCATAAAATACTTACAGAAAGATAGAAGAGATCATATGAATACAAACATAGAAGACTATAGTTACAAGATAAACGCATTAAATACGTCATATTCTTCTATTAATATCCCCGAACGAATGAACAATGTTGCCAAATATAAAACTAGAGTCTTTAACTCGTCATTAAGAATCACTAATAATTTGATTTAGTTGATTGTCGACACTTTTTTCTTAATCGTGTTAAAAAAAATGAATAGACAAATATAATGCATATTCTTTTGGAAATGACTTTGTTGTGCAATGTCAATGTGCCTAGACAAAAAATATATTAGTAAAGTATCGAGTCTATGATCGTTAAGCAACAAAACATGAGCCAAGATGATGTTGTGCATAACCGCGGTTTCTCAATATTGTATGTATACCCACTAAAAATAAAATAAATGAAAAAAATTATTAAAAAAGAAAATTGTGCATATCTTTCATAGAATCTGATTGAAGGTTGAGGAAAAAAAATAGAAGTTAAATTCCTTTCTCCATATATGAAGGTGACTCACGTATCATTTATTTTGGTTCGGCAGTATATTCGTTTCGATCACTTTCAGTTATTCCCAATGAATGATTTAATTCAGACGGTACTTTTGCCTTATAAACTACTCTGCTTTCCAATATACGTCTAAAACAACAATAAATTATTCGGTGTTATGTCTAGTTCTCTTTTCCTCCATACCCATGATCATCAGATACTGTTGCTTTCTATACAGATGTTTCTATTTTATTTGCAAATGTTTCTTGATGCTGATCATAGATGACTTTTGATAAAAACTCTAGACTGTCACTTGGAACTGTTCGATCCGTTGTATACATTTCATGTCAACCACTGGATAATGTGGCAGTCGACTATAAATGATTTCATGGTTCATCTAGTTGTGCTTCATGAGTCTGTGTAGCGTAAGAATATTTCTGATGTTGAACTTTTGCCGTTGAAAGTTTCGTCTGATTCGAAACGAGGAAATGATAATTAATCACGATGACGGATAGCATGATGAATCATATGAGTAACCATAATGGAAGAAGAGTAATAACCACGTATCAGTGAATACAATAGTCAAACAACATTTGTAAACATTCACCATTACTGCAGTTCAGTACTCTAACGAGGGAACCTATGAAGGCGTCCCACTCCGATTTCAATGATTTATACATGAATAGATAGATCACAGTGAGGTAGTAAATACCCTAAAAAGATTTGGGCCGATGACTGTTGAAGTTCCGATTTCAATCAGTTTTTAAGGAACTCTTAAAAGTAACCGAAACCTTTTCTTAATGAAACAAGATTGTAGCCCATAAATTTCTGATTAAAATGAGATATCTCTCAGCTTTACATGACCTATCTTGGCAAAGTTATAGAATTTACAAGAAAAGCCCTAAGTGTTCACTCTCAGTTCAAAGCTACAGAAATAAGAAGAAATAAACTTAGGGCTTCTTTTGTAAATTCTATAACTTTGCCAAGGAAGGTCATGTAAAGCTGGGAGATGTCTCATTTTAATCAGAAATTTATGGACTACAATCATATTTCATTAAGAAATGGTTTTGATTGCTTTTTAGAGTTTCTGAAAAACTGGTTTTCCACAAAACCGGCTCTTCGGCAGTCATGGGCCCAAATCCTTTTAGGGTATTTACTACCTCACTATGGTCTGTCTATCTATCCCTGTATAATCATTGGAATCGGAGGGGGATACTTCCATAGGTTCTCTCGTAAGTTGTCAGAAAAGGACCAATATACGTTTTTTTAAAAGAAAACAACTTTTTTATTACTGTGTTTAATAAAAAAAGCTGAATTATTTAACTATTATATCTGGGATTTCCGACGACTTCAGAATATCTTAAATCTGATCGAGCTGCACCTATATAGCGTCAACGCATATAAAATAATCGAAACATGTGATTGTACTCTTATCTTTTCTGATTTTTAGTATGAATATTCTCATACAAGCTATTTTTAAACGTTTGAATACTCAGATGTTGCAAGTGACTCTTTATTTGAGTTAATTAGCTAGATTCTGTCAAATCGTTTTTTACTATTTTCTTTTAGACTCTTTTGATATCCTCAGGCTTGATTATCTCTGAAAATGGCAATATTTTTTTTTTTTTGATTTAAATTGGATTCTTTTGAGTTTTTATAGGTTAGATAGTTTATATTCATATATTTCTGAATAAATGGAGAAAAATATTCGTGTAAATGTCACAATAACAAAGTATTGACATACATGAATGAACGTTCAAAGAAAGTTCATTTCGTATATCTCTTATTCTCTGTTTATTTGACCCAGTAAGGAAACAAAATAGCAAAAAAGAGAGAAAAAAATGATACTCTTAAAAATGGTAAATTACTAATATTATCAAAACTATTGCCTGTATTCATAATTGAATTTTGGCATGTAATTTACGTCGAAAAGGGAAAGAACTTTCTCTTTTCTTGTATTTTGACTTTTCTTTCGACATCACTCTTTTTTTTTTCTTGGTTTTTTTGTTTCAACAAAAAAAAAAAAAAAAAGAAACATTAATTGAGTTAATCGACGACTGTTGATTTCTATTAGGTGCTCTCTTTGCTACAGTAAAATGAAAAAAAAAGTCAAGAAGTGGTTTTCAATGCTCATCTAGTTTTTTATCTTAGCTATAAAGATGAAGCTACTACAGTAGAAACGAGGAGAGTTTCCGTTAAAAGTGAGGTAATTGATGTTGTTTCACCACACTAATTTTAAGTGACATGAATAAAGCAAAAAAAGAAATTTTCTTTCTCTGCTTGAAACACTTCAGACATAAATGACTTTTAATCTATATGCACGTACGAAAAGTCAATTTATTGAAAACGTGTTTGATGAAAATTTTTTCAAGAATCCATTATTTTTATGTAATACAATAAATCTCATCATGGGAGAGGAAATTGCCAAAATGTCAAAGTGATTTTCAAGCTATCTACAACTATTGAAAAATATTCTTCTCTATTGTTCTAATCTTTAACAATATCCTTCAAAATATTTCAAAAATCTTAGGCACTTCGTTTTGAACTACGATGTGAAGTAGGCGGACATAAAAACGTGCATAACAAAAAAAAAAAAAAATTTCTAAAAATTATGATCATTATATTTCTATGTATTGAATTCTGAAATCTAGGTTCTTTCTTCATCATTGACATGACTTTTTATCTAAAATTTACCTTTTCTAGAAACAAATATAATTTTTCAACTCATCGTATGTTAATTATTTCAACAAAAATTGACTAATTAATCTTTAAGTTAGATGAATATATTTGCATGTAAAATGTACAAGTAGTAAAGAAAATTTTTCATGCGTACTAATGCATATTATTTTGTTTTCCTTTCTCTATACATTAAAAATTAATGAACTAGAATAAAATCATGATCTCCTGAATGATATAAGACAAAATAATAAAGAATTCATGTTTCCTTGCTATGTTAAAGATATTGAATATATAATAATAAGAAACTGTCAATGTGATACGAGCGTGACTGAAAGAAATGAGGATGGGTAAAGTTATATATTTTTTTTTAGTAGTCAGTCATTATTTTGTATACAGTAGATATGCGAAGTCTCCTTTTCCTCTATGATGGAATTGGATTAAAACAAAAAAAGCCTGTATTTCATTAATTTTTCAAATATTATTAAAATATTTGACTACATTCCTTTTGTGAGAAATATTTTATATACAACAGATAAAATAATCTTTCAATTCATTTTTTTTTCCTCTTGTTTTGCATCTGCAAATAAACGATACTCATAGAGTAACTGTTTGAATTTTCTGATTCATCTTCTCTATCTACGCTAATTAAGGAGTAAATGTGCATATCAGAATATATCAAGAAACCGTGGTGTGAATAATTGCATTTCAAAAATAAAACAAAAGAACTGCGTTTAAAAAGAAAAACACATTCACCATAATGTGTGCGTTTTCTATTGAGTATAATTTTACCATTGATTGGCTTCATTTTGTATGAAAATGACTTTTAGATTTTCAGTTATATTTAGACTAACTCCGGGTTCTCACATTCTAGAGTCATCTAACAAGGCGTCAGTTTTCTAAAGTTAAATGAGTAAGTAGCCCCATTTTTTTCAACTATACTTACGAAGAAAGTTAATTAAATTTTTTTTTATCAATAGAGAAAAACACGACATCACGTAATTTTTCAATAATTAATCCAAAAAAAAAAAAAGAATTAGTACGAAAGAGAGAGAGTGAGAGAAAGAGTGAATATGTATATGTCTAGAATTCTATGTGTAATGTAGAATTTATATTTTCATAAAACAGTAGAAAAAAAAAAAAAGAAAATGAATTAGAGAGTAAATTCAGCAGCTGTCGTTCTCATCGACAAATTAACCATTCTTGTTCCCTTATAATTATTAATACTTTTTGCTGATGATGATGTTGTCCTTGTTGTACGTGATTTTCTTATAGCTTGTATTAAATATGGCCAACATATACTAATTGGCCATAATTTTACTAATTGTTGTCGAAATACTTCACCAGTAAGAGTATAAATATAAAAATGAATAGCATAATTAAGATGAGATAATGTTGCTAAATGTGCTGTTATAAAATAATTTCTTTTTTCACTTAATAATCTTGTTATTTGTTGTTTATTACCATGTGATTGTATTATATCATTTATTTCTGTTGGTAATGTAAGAAATAAAAATGCCATTGCACTACCAACTAACATAAGTGTTAATTGTCGATCTTTTTCATGTTTACGTTTTGATTTTCTATGTGTTATAATATCAGCACGTCTAGATGAATGTCTAAGACGTGACGATTTAAATACACGAACAATAATAATAAAATTACATACAATCATAATCATAAATGGTATTAAATTTGATTTAATTACATCAAAATAAGAATCATAAATATTAAAAAATTTTGCATATGGTATAACATCCGTTCGACAATGACAATGACGTGTTATTTCTGGTATTGTTTTATTCATATAATCTAATGGACGATGATATACATCAATAATAACAAAACCGTATAAAAAATGTATATTAAGTAATGCTATAACAATAATTAATACAGTTGTTATTATATAAGCTATTTTTGGTCTACAAAATTTTCGACATTTAATAGGACATAGTACAACAAGTGCTCGATCAATTGAACATGCTGTTAATAAATAATTTGCCAAATCAAATGAAAAATATATTCCAAATACAAATAATTTACATAGAAAATTTGTTTTTATTAATACATTATAATTATATACGGGTAAAACAAAATGAATTTGAATACAAAGTAAACAGAGTAAATCAGCAACGGCTAATACAAAGAAATATATTGAACAAGATTTTTTACGTAATGTTTTACGATAAAATACTAAACATGACATTGTACTACCAATAAGACCAATAACAGCAATAAATGGACCAAATACACCATAGACAATATGATCAGCATACCAAAGATAAAATTTAGCACGATCTTGATCATCTTTATGATAATTACTTCGTTGATCTATTGTTAAATTCATTTTAATTAATTTTGTTCTAAAATTAATAAAAAGTTTAAAAAAAAATAAAAACAATTGTCTTGTTTTTTTTTCTCTTCTTTTTTAAAAAGTAAATTTAATAGAGTAAGTGTTCGATCTACATAATCATTTTCTAACTGTAAAAAAACAAATGTGTATTTCATTAACTTGAAAAATGTCTTATTAGAGAGCTTTACAGTTTAACTGTGTCTTTCTTCTTCTTCTTCTTCTTCTTTTTTTTTTGACACCTTTTGAATCGAACTTCACGAAGATCAGAGCTGCTTTATTTAATGGCCTTGGAATACATCCGACTTCTAACTAATTAATATCAATTAGTTTCTCTACAAATTAGAAACATCCTATTTTCTCATTTCGCTTTTCATTCCACATAGAATTTCTAGAATGTGACAGTATTTTCTTTATACTCTAATTTTTTTTTTTTTTTATTTAATTGCTCTCTTTTAGATTTGATTATACAAGCAATTAAATATCTATTTCAAGGCAAAACTTTCCTATACTATAATGAAGACAAAATTCTTATTTTTGTAAGATATTATTGTTCATCAAATGTATATGTCTTTTTCTTCTACTACTTACATATCTTCTGGCTATATAAACTGTTTGCCTATTGCTCCCCCCTCCACAAAAAAAAAAAAAATTTTGCTTGCTTAATTATGTGTCTCAATTCTTTCAAGTTTACTTCCATATATCGTGTCTATTATAAATAATAAATGATATTTTATTTTTAAATCTATTCACAATTCAAAAGACATTAAAATATAATTCAATTCAATTTATGCGTATTAATCACAGATCCCAGCGGTTTTACACGTATAAAGTATTGTCAAGAGTCACATAGATTTCGATGACTTTCATATAGTGTTCAAATTACTTCCGATTCAGATTGCGTTCTTCTATATTAATGTGATGAAATGTGTTTAAATGTTGCTAATGTCATTGGGGGAGGGGAGGTCTTCGTTTTACTATCAAATTCGGATACAAAAAAAACAGAAGAAGAACAATATATTAATATATATTTCCAAAATGTCGTGCAACTAGAATATTCCAAAATTAATCTATATCGAATCAACAAATAACACTCGTTTTTATCTTTATGATTAATAGCTACAATTATTCTCTTAATAATTTATGTTTCACTTTTTGACACAATTTTTTTTATCAAATAAACAATAAGAATTAAACATTTTTGTTCTTTATACTTAAGAGAATAAATTAGAAATCTATGACTACTTTAAAAAAGAGTGTATAAAAATTACTTACCATCGTATAAATGACAGAGAACATATTTATTCATAATTATTTGCATGTAAACTAATTTTTCTTTTCGTGAATAAAAAATACTAAATACCACTCTATAAAATTAAGAAATAATTTATAGTTCTGCACCTAAACCTTCTGAAAAGTTGAACGTATAAAGAAATGTATAAAGAAATTAGAAATGTCATTGTGAATCTTTCTCACATTTTTATGTATAGTCTATATCTCTCTCTCTCTCTATCTTCTTTTTTTTTTGTTACTGCTATGAAATGTGAAAATCTATCATTTCCATTTCTCTCTCTGTCTCTTTCGTTCTCTCTGCTTCAAGCGAGAAAATGATCAAGAATTCACATCATATCCATTTTTCTTCACTCTCACTACGTTTTCTACATGACATATTATAATTAAAAACAATTTGTACAATGAGACACGAATATAGACTGTCTGATGATTAGGAGAAACGGAAGCAAAAATTGAAAAATTGTGATCTTTTCTTCTCTTCTCGTTATACTTCTATTCATTTCTTCTTTTTTCTTCTCCCTTTGTTCTATTAAGAGATTCTCAATGTCTTTTTATTTCTCAAAAAAATGTAGGTACTCATTTGAATTTTTTTTTATGAAAAATAATAACAGTAACAACAACAACACCTAAATAATTTCTCTTTTTATATAAATTAGGATACGTACCGTCTCTATTCATTCAGACAGGATATCATGATTATATCTATGAAGAAATAAAAATTGAAACCTCGATAAAATGATCAAGAATTTACGTGTTTATTCAGAATGATAACAGATCTTTTACCTATATCCTTAAGGAAAATGAAATTTATTCATGTTATGTCAATGAATCTTGTTATCATATACATGATAAACTCGTACAAAATTTTTCAAATGATATGTAGGTTGTTTCGTAGGTTTTTCTGACAAAATCAGACAATATAATCGTTTTCAATATATGTATAATGTTCAGAATTTCATGTTGACATAACTTCTTTTTTGTCGAACAAAGAAAACAATCTATTTATAAACTAATTAGAGGTAATTTTCTTTATTAGTTAACTTAGTAAACGCTACATATTGAAATAAAACACAGTAAAGAATATGAATAGTTCTGACAGAATATATTCCCTTCCCTGTTCTCATTTTTTTTTTTTTTTTTTGTCAAATCATCGATCATTCTTCAGTTCTATTGCCTGATCGATAATACCCTATCATAGAATGACACGTTCAAAAACAAAAACAACAACTTACTACAGTTAATTAAAAAAAATACAGAATATTTGAATATATATGGATGCTTTTTTTTCTACAAAAACAATACATTAATAATCTAATACTTAGGACGAGCGCGTGACTCTTAAGACAATGATACGAGTACACTGGTTGTTTTCTCGCAACAATATTTTATTCAACTCTTACTCCGTATTATTCAACGTAAATTTGAGAGTATATTATAAACATCCTCATACAGATTTTCCGATTCAATCAAAAAAGTAGAGTTCAAAATACTTATGAGACTTGATGTAAGTTTGTTTTTCGGATAAGATAAATTGAAGATTTTTCTTGAATATATTTTCAATAGTCATTGACAGATCGTCATTCGTAAAAACAAAGAAGATTTGACAGTGGTCGTCAGCAAGTGAGTAACGTTCATAATATAAGAAAACATTTAGTTTACATACTTTTTGTTCTCACTTACATTTCATAAGACAAAAGTTGTATTAAATATGACTAATCCTGGATTAACCTAATTTTGCATAGAATATTGCTTTCAGACATAAATTGTCAGATAAATGCTTTTAAGTATTGGTCATTAATAATACAGAAATAGTTTAATAACAGTTTGTGAAGAATAGTGCCATTCTTCTCATTGTCCTCTCATTCTTTTCTTTTTACTCTGCTCTTCTTCAATGCATGGTATACATCTATTACTCTCTCTCTCCCTCTCACACTAGTCATCTTATACACGTCACTCTCTCTTTGTTTTCTATGAACATCTCTCTCTCTCTCTCTTGCTGTTGATAGAGAAGGAAAAGACGAGTGGAGTTGAATTCGGATAAAAGAAGAGGACAGTCGTGAAGTTGTGTCATTAGTGTACACATTGTTGTTTTTGTTTCAAAATAAAAGGGTCTCACGATTCCAGAAAACATTCCACCTACTGGATATACTGAAAACTTGAGGAAAAAATACCGGATTAAGGGTACCCCCCTCTGTTTTTAGTAAAAAACTTTCCATTTTGAACTGAACATAGCCTAATGTAGAAAAAAGCCTGGGCTATCGAATGAGACCACTCTCAGCTCTTCATAACCTTCCTTAAAAAGCTTATAAAGCTTTTCCTCAAAGCCTAGAAAATCTCAACTTTTTAGTTTCGTAAACCTTTCTCTCCTTTCCTATATTATCAAATCTTTTTCTTATAGATAGTCTGATAGAAGAAAATGTGTTCTTCAAAATGAGACGTCTTACAGAATTTTCCGATGAGTTTTCATGGAGATATAAGCATCACTGCAAAGGCCAAACAGAACCTGCGTACAATACATGTTTTCTTCACTATGCGTTTTTTCGTTAGTCCCTTCAATCCAGTCACATTGTGACTCCTCCAAAAATGATCCGGTCGAGCTTGAATTTTGACCACAGATACTTCAGACCCTATCTCGGAAGTAAAATGTATTTTTAGCGTTTTCGATTTCAACTTTCGGTATGAGAAAGTTTTTAAAATCAAAACATGTTTTTTATACAGGAGTTTTAGTATTTTTCTAATATCTTGAGAAGGAAAGACTATTTTTCGAAAAGAAAATTTTCTCTCCTGAGATAAGGTCTAATTTGAGCACAAATTTGAGCTCGGTCGGACCATTTTTTCGAAGGATCGTAATGTGGCTGGATGAAAATTGGAGTTATCCAGAAAACCCATAGAAGAACATCTCAGAAAAGTCTGGGTAGAAATATATCGATTTTCTTTTTCGATGTTCTATCACTGGTACAAATTCGAGCCCAATCGAACGTGTGCTCCGAATTTGGCAACAAGGTGGAAACGAGGGGGAGGGTACCGTTAAAAACTGGAGAGATATGAACGCGTCTTGATCAGCTGTGCAAAACTCTTACCTTCTTTGTACGTGCATGCTCCAACAGATTTATTCTTATGGATACTCCACAATCTTGATCATCACATGTTTTTCATAATAAACTTCTTCTGAACTCTCGTGACTATGAGTTTTAAAAACAAGTGATTTTTTACTTTTAGTTCTTATTTTAGTTCAAAAACATTTTAGTTCTTATTTTTAATCTTGATTCCCGATCGCATGATATGTTCTATTCTGCGAAAAAGGTATATGTGAAAAATGTTCCACGATAAAGTTGACCGTCAGAAAGTGACTGATTTCTGAAGCATTCTAAAAAGTCTTAAGAAAAGCAGTTATTAAAAATGATCTCGACTCGAAAAACATTGCATTTTGTAGAGAGCTTCTTGGTGTATCTACGATGTTTCGTTCTTCACTAAAAATTAATAATTCATCAGTCATGTATCGTTAAATGCATCCAGCTATATCAAAATAAAAATAAACTATTCTATTTCTTGTTTTTAACCTTGATTCTCAGTCGCATGATATGTTCTATTCTGTGAAAAACGTTCCATGATCAAATCGATAGTCAGAAAAGCGCCCTTGAAAAATGCATAATAGCCGTAGTCGTATTTCGATATTCAATGAAACTTTTCACTGAAAACCCAGTCATCGATTCTTATATAAGAATCTTATCAGAAACGTCTAAGTCTCTTACCAGTGTCTTACGATTCTTATGGGAATTTGATCAGTTTCTTATATAAGATTGTTTAAGATTTCCCATTGGTAGTTGTAAGTGTCTTACAAGAATCTTATAAGATTTTCATAAGAGGTTCGTAAGAAATTCATAAGAAGTACCAAAAATTCTTATGAAGTTTTCCAGCCAATCGTAACAGAAGTCACCAAAACCAACTCATAAGCTGCCTTTATAAATAAGAATAATATATGAATTTTTGGTACTTCTTATGAATTTCTTATGAACCTCTTATGAAAATCTTATAAGATTCTTGTAAGACACTTACGACTACCAATGGGAAAACTTAAACAATCTTATATAAGAAATTGATAAGATGCCGATAAGCATCTTATCAGTTTTATCAAAAAAAGTTTGTGTAGGAAAGTTTGTCAAAACTGAAGACTTGAAGTTGATATTAGTTTTCCTCGAAATCTCTCTGCTTCGATAGTTGGGATCACAGTTGTCTTTTATGCATTTGACTTATAATCGAAAAGCTGATTTTGACGAGTACTTAGTACTTGATGTATTCGTGGTCTCAAGCCAATGATTTTTCTTTCCAGTTCACTATTAGAGAGAGAAAGGGAAAAAGAGAGAAATATCTCTTCTTCTAGAAAATACGGGGACATTGGGTTTCTATGCAGAAGCGTATTTTTTTGATGAATTTTTTTATGACGGCAAGTATCAGAAAATTTTTTCATGATCTGTGAATGTCAAGAACATAGAAGTGTGACAGACATTCCACAAATAATTGAAATATTTGAATATATTCTTCCTTTCCCTTTTTCACAGTACACTTAGGCGTTAGCTATTGATGTTCGGTTCTTCACTGATAAGTAACAATTCATTAGTCATATATCTTTAAGTTCATGTGTTCGATCCTGGCATCGTGCGATGTTTGATTTTGTATTTGTTTTAAGTTTCAGAATGATATAATCGGATTTTAGATTCTTGATTTCGTTCTGGTTCAAGATTAAAGGTTAAATCAAATGTATCCAATGATATAAAAATAAAAATAATCCACTCACTTGTAAAATTCCGTCATTTAGTGTCGAATTACTGACAGTGATCTTAGAGGAAACGATTGAATATTCAGAGAATCGGTTTTAGATACATACTTATATATAATCTCATCGCATCCTATCCAGTAGACTAGAATAACAAACATCAGTCAAGGTTGTCCATCTTGAAGATATGCTTATAGCGAATTGATTAAAAGTTGATGTATCTAAAACTTAAAGGATAAAAGATAAAAGTTTTTTTCAACAAATTGCTGAAGAGACACAAATAGTTATCATTTATTGATAGTTTTCTCATATTTGTATTACAATCAAGTTTATACTTTTTTTCCTATGATTAAAGAGCAAAGATTTCTCGACCACATGAGCAGGCTTCATATTTGTTCTGTTTTATCCTGTTTTTCCTGTATTTTGAAGTCTTTTTGTAGTCTTACTGTTGATTGTGGTAAAATCTGTTGGAAAGCTTTTGCTTCTTACGTGAATCCAATTAGCCCGTTAGACAAATATTTTTATTTTTTTCAGTCAAACAAGAGAAGAGCAGACTAACAGAACTGACGTTTACACCAATGATCAGAATGTCCTCATAAAGACTGACTGTATAAATTCTACACACTCATGCCGAAATGCTAAACGAAAGAAGTAAAAAAAACGAAAGACGAAGAAGAAATGAACAGTAAAGAAAAAGTAAAATGAAGTATGATGTTAGACATGGGCGGGTCGGGACTAGGGACGAAAAACCTGATCCCGTAAAAGTAAAACTTTCATTGTAAAATCAAATTCTAACGTGAGTTTCAAACTCGTTTTTCTATCAATTTTTTTCTTTTGCAAGGCCGTACAAAGTTCTACAACGCATTACAATAGCCAAAAATAGCATCTGCTGTTGATAGAGAAG